CATAAGCACATACATATATACATATATACATACCTACCTACCTACCTACCTACCTACCTACCTACCTACCTACCTTCCTACCTACCTACCTACCTACCTACCTACCTACCTACCTACCTACCTACTTCCCTACCTACCTGCCTGCCTACCTGCCTACCTATACGAGTACCTACCTACCCAACCCGCTACCTAGCTACCGACCGACCCGCCTACCTACCTACTTACCTAGCTACTTACTTGCTTACCCTTTCCCTGCTTGCTTGCTTCGTCTTACTTGCTTGTTTGCTTGCTCGCCTTGGATACTTACCCAGTTGCTTCCCCACTCACTTATTGACTTACATGCATACACGCCTGCATACAGACATGCATATGCTTGTTTATTTAGTCAGCTCTGTCTGCACGTTTTGCTCTTGGACCTCTGATTCCAAACTTCCACATGTACCTCAGAGCTCTGAAAACCGAAAAGCCTCCACCCCGAAGCCCTCAGCCCACCTCCCGCCCAGAGATTCCCCGAGACGTCCTGGCCATGGACATCAAAGCCGGAACTCTCCGGGCCAATCCCAAAAAGCTCCGACACAACCCAGAACCCTAAAACCTTCGCACCCAAGGGTCAAAGGCCGCCACATGGGTAGCTCTCTATCTAAATGAAAGTACCCTGTTAGGTCCCCAAAACAGTACAGCACCGTTATAAACAGGAACCTAATGGGGACTCTGACTTAATTAAAGAACCACCCAAATGCTGAGCTTCAGAGAAACCCCGAACCCGACTCCAAGTTCTCCCGTACTCAACCGAGTTCTTATCTTGGAACTTAAGTTACGTTGTTGGCGATAGGGATCTGCTTTCAGTTTCATGGTGTCCTTCTTATGGTAGCTTAAATTAGACTTAAGTTCCACATAAGGAACCCAGCTAAGATTAGGACTTTGGGGTCTGGGGTTTGGGGTATAGGGTTTAGCACTCATGTAGTGCAACCGTACTTCACCCGGTGCCTCAGGCTCCTCTTCATAAACTTCAAACCAATCGTACCCTAAAGCGTGAAGCCGATAGAATTCTAAAGCAATAATACTAAAACGAGCCACGCAAGCTAAGTTACCCCAAGTCGTAGACCTTAAATCCTAAGCCCTGAAACTAAAACCTAAACCCTAAGCCCAAAGCCCTGAGGCCTAAATCCTAAATCCTAAACACCCAAACCCGAAGCTCGGAGCCCTAAAACCCTAAACCCTAAAGGTCAGGTTTAGGGTTTAGGGGTTTTGAGCTTTAGGGTTTAGGGCTACATCCAAAATGCATTCGGACCTCTGCTCGGTTTAGGGTTGAGGGCTTCGGGTTTAGGGATGTACCACGTCCGAATTCAGGGTGGGCCCGTGGCCCGACCTTCAGTTTAGGGAGGCTGGAGATCAATACATGCCATTGCTTAGGGTTTTGGGCACGCGGCGGTGTTTATGAATTAGCGGTTTTTGTGGGGATCTGCAGCGACGGCGATTTAGATCTGACTTTGGCCTGATTACGGGGGTTGTGCAACAAAACTTGTCGATGTGTGGACCCTCAAGGCAGCTATCCGTTGAAGTTCCCGATCCGGCCAGGTCCAACCCAAACGGATAAGAGAGTAGGGTTTGGGGTTTAGGGTTTGGGGTTTGGGGTTTAGGGTTGAACCAACCTGGCAAATCCGACAACCTTACCTCTAGGTCTATAGAGCATGCCCGCCAGAGAGCTCTGACAATTGAGACGTGCAGAGTAGCACCGACGCATGCTGGGGTCCATGCGGTGCAAGGGCGCCAACAGGCCCAAGGTCAAAGCCGTAGTGCTCATGTAATTCTGGGGGTGCAAGCTCGGTCCCCACCACGCTTGGACGACGGCCGTCCTGAGCTTATCGATGACCAGCTGAGACACTGGAGTGCCTTCCGCATACAGGCCTTGCAAGTATGTAGCAAGCAGACCCCTCCGTATTTCAGGAACACGAAGGAGGCGAGCTCGGAGTATCTTTGGGACGCACCACAGCGGCTCTGTGATCGCCCAATGTGCAGTCGGCGCCAGGTGCGGTTTCAAGCATGACACCGAGATGCTTGACGGACTCCTTGAGTGGAAGTTTAGGATTTGCTGTAGTCTTTAGGGTTTTCCGAGGCCTCTATGAGATGCCACCCTAGGTGAAAGCCTAAACCTTAAACCCCAGCTGCTGGAAAACAAAGTAGTGCAATGCTCCCAGAGACCGCTGTGGAAATTCTACAGGACGCGTTCAGAGCTTTTGTCACAAAGCTTCATCGGGGTTTAGGGCTTAGGGTTTAGGGTCAGGGGGCCCGCAACACAAAAAAACAAACAAACAACCGTCCTGTAGACCAGACTTCTTAAAACCTACGGAAGATCCCCAAAACCCTAAACCCTAAACCCTTAACCTTAAACCCTAAACCCTAATCCCAAAACTTAAACCCGCAGCATGCCCTCCTCGATGACGTCGCCACGGATCTCCAGCTCGTACCTGCTTCAACTGTAAGGCTTCAGAGTTGAAGGCCTCGGATTAGGGCTCAGAGGTTCAGGGGTTCAGGGGCTTAGGGTTTAGGGCTTAGGGGTTTAGGGGTTTTGAGGGTTAGGGTTTAGGGTTTAGGGTTTAGGGTTTAGGGGTTTAGGGTTTAGGGTTTAGGGGTTTAGAGGTTCAGGGTGGATTTCAGGGACTCGTTGGCTTAGGGAGGTTTAGGGGTGTAGGGCCCAGAAACTTCGGATGGTTCTAGGTTTGCCGGTCAGATGTTAGGGCTTCGGTATAAAAGGTTCAGGTGTTTAATTGACAAATTAGGGGTTTAGGGCTGAGAAGCCTCGAAACTTCGTGGCTTTCTAGCGAACGACGTTACGTCGATCCTGCTCGTCCTGTCTTTCTTTCAGTTCCCGAGAGCCGACATCCTAGCGTCGCAATGCGTGATCTCGAAACTGCGGGTAGAGTATGTTTAGACAGAGTATATATTTATTATAGCAAATATTCTCCGTTATATTATAGTAGTATAGTATATTTTTGTATTGTTTTTCTAACATATTATAGTATTATCGTATATGTTTTTGTATTGCAACTTTAAAGTTCAACCCCAGAGACTTGGACGGTACGTTGGCCTACATTTTCCCACTCTTGCTCTTGAAGAATGCTCGTGATCTCCATCAGGGAGTCCAGGTGAATGCCATCCATGGCTGAGGGTTTAGGGTCTAGGGTTTAGGGTTACTGCGCCGGTGCGAAGGTTCGTCGCACTCTGTGTTGTTCACTTGCAACAAACCTGCCCAAGACCCCTTTCCTGCCTAGACTCCTCCACAAGTCCTCCGCCCGGAACAATTATATATATATATATATATAGTATTATAATCTCATTACGGCGT